GTGTTGTCATGGGATATAGTTAGGACACTGATGGGACACTGATGGGACATTGATGGGACAGATGGGACATTTGGGACATATATGGAATATAGTTGGAACATATAGTTGAGACATATAGCTGGGACAGCAAATGCTTGGGACATAGGAAATGGACATCACTGACTATATTGTGTAAATATTTGTTTAATTAAAATTATTTATATATTTAGAAAAAAAATGAAAGCGGATTTTATTTGTGATTACCTTCATAATTCTGGTAAGACTTGTGGTAAAGCCTGTACTCGATTTGACAGTTGTCGATTGCACTACAAAGCTAAAAAATGCTAGCCTTGCATAGAATCAGAATGTGGTAAGCCTACTAGATCATCTTGTGGTCATTATTATCTTCATACTAGGGGCTATTATATGATTCAATATGTTAATAGATTTCAGGATAAGGCCCTGATGTTTGATATGTATTCAGGAGGTTAGACTTTTAGTAAAAGATAGATTTATTATATAGTTAGTTAAGAGGTTAGACTTTTTTTTGCAGTTAGATTTCACATATAAGTAAACGAAAGATTAGACTTTTTTGTCTCAGGTTTGTGTAAGGAAATGGCTCTAAAATAGTTTTCTGTATATTTATAAATTGATAACATGCTAGAACATAATCATTAAACTTTTGATTTGCAAACTAGATAACAGCTAAATATAACCTCTTCGAGGTTAGACTTAACATATGGTATACATTTTAGGCTTGCATGGTTAGGCCCAGCTTAAATCACGTTACTTTATTTCTTGATTTTCGATTGTCCCTCCAGAGGCAAGCAGAATAGCATAAAAGTTATTATTAAATTTGGGTTTGCAATGTTAGGCCCAGCTCAAATCACGTTACTTTGTTTCTTGATTTTCGATGGCCCCTCCTGAGGCAAACAGAATAGTAAAATTTTTTTGAAATATTATTTGGGATTAAAATCAGGCTAGAATGGTTAAATTAAACATTGTAATTTTTGGTATCAGATAGGCTAATTCCTAGTCAAGTTCAATAACATCATCTAGAATTAAGTCAAAATGCGTTAGAAGTTTGAATTTGATAATTGATTCATATAGCTAAAATGGGTTCACAGGCAAATAGGAATCTTTTCTGAGTACTAATTGGAATTTGTCCCAGAAACCCTATTTTTGCCCTACTTTTGTGATTTTACTAATTATCGACTGGAAATAATTTTTAGTGTACAAGACCGAAAAGAAATTCATGATCAATATATTATTGATATTACTGATATTATAAATAAAAACCTATATGATCGTATCATTATATATTGTGCAATACATTCTAAATGTGAATATTTGTTTAATAAATTACAGTCAACCCTTGATATAACGAATTTTATGTCCTGAACTTCAACTTCACTATAGAGCTATAGTGAATTTTTTAAAGAATTTGATTGGCTAGTTCGTTATAACGAGGGTAAATTTAATATAGTTGTCCAAAAATTCGTTATATAAAAATTCGCTATAGAGAGGTATGACTGTATAGGAAAAGCTGCCTGGCATATTGATGGATCATTTTCACATTGGTTTACGTGATGATGAAAGAGAAACAGCAATGAATAATTAGAAGTCTAATAATACATGGATAATGGTAGCAACATCAGCTTTTAGTATGGGAATCAATTCAAATGATATACATGTAGTTATTTATGTAAGAGCACCTATGAATATAAGTATGTATATTAGATTTAATTATATTTATATTTATTATATTTCTAATTGTATCTACATTTTATAGGTAATCTTATTCAAGAAGCTGGATGTGTAAGGCGAGATGGAAATACAGCAACACATATTATTTTTTTTAGCAAAAAGATATTTGTATAAATTACTCTATAGTAGCAGAATATTGAGAAATGTAAGTAATGATTTATTTTTATATATTATTTACATTATTTGCTAATTTCTTTTTTTTATAGAGAGACTATTACTACAAATATTTTAACCAATGAATAGCATTTGACCAATAAACTTGAACAAGTAGCTAATAAAATTTTTGAAGTTTTTTACTATTGCAATTCACGCTTTGAATGTCATCAACAACTAATCTGGCAATATCAAGTATGGCCAGACGAAGTGAAACCACCCGTATGTGAAAAATGTGATAATTGTATAAATCAAATTGCTAATAAACCAAAATTACTTAATGGTAAAGAAGAAATAATAAAATTATTAGAAGTAGTAGAATTTCTTACACAAAGAGAACAACAAATTTGTCCAGATGATATAGTAGATGTTTTTAGAGGTGGAAAAACAGCAAAGATAAAGCAAAAAGGATGGGACACCTTACCAATATATCCAACTGAAAAAAGAAAAATACTAAAAACTAAAGAACTGATCCAGTTGCATTGGCGGATTTAATTGTTTGTGATTTGGTTCAACAAAAAATTATTTTACGATATCCTTCTAAAGGTAATCTTGGTTTGTCCAGTAGTATTATTGTAGTTGGTGTGACTTCCAGTATATAAGCAAATGCTAATATGCAAACGTGGAATTATTTCGTCAAATAATAAAATTATGATGATCATATTTTTGTTACACAAAAAGAATTAGTCACATAAAAATGATCGACATTGACTCTACCCTTAAGCCATATAATCGGTGTAACCTGTCACATCATAGCGATGACGTATAATACTTTGCGGAACATATACTATCGCTATTTATGTAATTTTAAAATTAAGGTTATCATACGATCATAATTGTTATTTTTATCCCTTGAAAATATTTTCACGTGACTAGACTACATTAATTTCCTTATTTGATTTTACTAAGCAAAAAATTAACCGGTAAACTCCGTATTTCTGTTAAAAAAAAAAATTTTTACCCTTTCTTTTTTGGATTTAAATTAATAAAATTATTTTATTTTATTTTATTTTTATTTTCAAAGTATATTTAATTATTTTTCATTGATTCAACATGCCAAAGAATAAAGGAAAGGTAAATTGGAAATTATTTATTTTGAATAATAATTCTTTTTGAATTTGAAAATTAAAAATTTTTATCGCCATATAGGGAGGAAAAAATAGACGGAGAGGAAAGAATGAAAATGAATCTGAGAAACGAGAGTTGATCTTTAAAGAAGATGGGCAAGGTAATATAATAATAAATCGTTCCGTTTAGGGTCATAAATTGAACAAATCGGTTTTTAAACAATTATTTTAATCACTTTTTTTATTTTATTCTCGTCAAACAACAGAATATGCACAAGTAGTAAAAATGTTAGGTAATGGTCGTCTAGAAGCCCAATGTTTTGATGGCGAGAAACGCTTAGCACATATCCGTGGAAAACTACGGAAGAAGGTAACAAAAAAGAGAGATCTATAAAATTTAAAATTTGTTTGACAATAAAAATCATTTTTAACCTCCTTTATCTCAAAGGTGTGGATAAATCAAGGAGACATCATTTTGATCTCTCTTCGTGATTATCAAGACGCAAAAGCCGATGTTATTCTAAAATATACAACAGAAGAAGCCAGAAATTTGAAAGCATATGGCGAATTACCAGAAAATGGTATATTTATTGTTTTAAAATTTTTTCACTTCTTGAAGTATTTTTATTTCTCGTTCTAATCAAATATTGAATGATTCATTTTATTAGCTAAAATTAACGAGACTGATACATTTGGTCCAGAAGATGATGAATGCAATTTCGAATTTGATATCGATGAGGTAATTTATGAATTGATAATTTTTTATTTTATTTATTTTTGATCACTCAACCTAACTATCCTTTCTTTTTTTTTAAAAAAAAATAGATCTAAAAAGGAAAAAAAAAAAAACAAAAACAAAAACAAAAAAATACATTATAATCATTTGTAGATGTTAAAATTCCTCCTTTATTAATCAAGACTTTTTTGCCTTATCTTTTTCGTATTATTATTATAATCTCGTTAATATTATTTTGCATATATCGTAATCTATTTTACTTCTTCACGTGAAAAAAAAAAATTAAGGAAGGAAATATAGGATAATTTCTACCCATTCAAAAGTATATATATTTACAAAAAAAAATTTTTCTTAAAGTTAATAAAAGATCTGTTGTTATTATTTTATATAGAGCTTCATAAAGAAGATTGTTTAACTTAGAAGGTAATGCCACATGAGCAGATTGAATTATAAAATAACAAAATTAATAAAGACGTTTTTAATATTTTTATTACTTTATTTAAATTGAAAATTTAAAACTTTTGCCAAAACATTAATTTTTACATCAAGAATTTTAATAAAACAAAAAAGCGTTGATCATTATTACAAAAAAAAATTTTTTTTAATTTTTATGCTATACTATAAAATCCGGGACATCGCAAATATCAAAATTTACCGTTATAAGGACGCCCGTAAATCACTTCATTTGCGCTCTTTACGGTTACCTCGACTTCCACGACCACCACGACTTGCACCACGACTTCCACGACTTCCACGACTTCCACGACTTCCACCACGTCCTCCTCGTCCTACAGAAGGTTGTTTAATGAGGCGATCCTTCGTAAGGTCATCTTCATCTTCCACTACATCGTCGTCATCAGGAACAACTTCCTCTATAACAAAGTCATCCATATCGGCAGTTATAACAGGGCTATTAACTTTGGTTGTAACCACATTAGATACGTTTAAGAAAGGAAGAGGATGTGATGTTGAGTTATATCTAATACAAAATAATAATGATAAATGGTTAATTATTTTTAATCAATATCATCACGTGACAAATTAAATAAATATTAATACTTGCTTTCTTGTAAATGAGGACTTTGTAGTACTGGCAATTTCAGTAGCATTATAGCGTGTTTGCTCATCTTTAAATTCCATGATGGTGTCGAATTGCTCTTTGGTAATCATATATTGATCCATAATATTAATGACATCGCTCATACCATCTGCTTTTTTGTCGACCAAAGGCTTAATAAGAGCCTTTCTAAGTGTAGGAATATAGCTTTCACGAATTTCACCTTTATCAGCAGAAACTTTGGTTCGTACGTGACTTTGAATTTCTTTCAACTGACGCTGAATCTTTTGAGCTTTAGAATTTTGTCCTAACCAGCTTGGAAATTTATATTGTCCAAATTGACCCCCTTTATTAAAGCCATGAACATAAGATGCGGGTGCAATGGTAGAAAAGAATCCATGCATTGGCATAAGATTCCATTCTTGTCGCGGTCCACGAATCCTTTTATCAACCATATCGCCATAGGACATTGAATCAGCTGCTTTTGCAAAGGCCTCCAAAGAGGCAAGCTTTTCTAAAACATCCGGTTTGATATCTTCGTTATCAAATTTTTTGATGAACTTTGTAATTGTATGAGGTTTCATTTTTATATAATTTTCAAAGATCATTAAAGGAATTAGATCGTGCTCTTGAAAATATAGTTTCATTTTATCATTGAAAGTGTTTTTACGAGATTTCCAGATGTCGTTGCTCAAAAAATCTTTAGAAATTTCAAAGACATTCTTTCTAAGATGTCTCTCGTTAGTTTTGTTCAAAGCCTTTATATCATCATAGTCAATAGAATCGTGGTTAATTTTCCATGTAGATATCATGTTCAAAATTTGACGAATGTCAGAGTTTGATCCTCTAATGAGTTCATCAACATCAGTTGGTCGAATTTGTAAATTTTCTCTTGTTGCAATTGTCATGATTCTTGATCTGACTTGTTCAACGCGAGGTTTGGCAAATCTCGCCTCATGACAATAGGATTTTAACGACTTGAATTTTTGAGAGTTGATGTCATTGCATATACTAACAATCGGTATCCTTGTTTTTTTGATCAATTGGATAAGTTCAGCGATACCACCTCTATCACCAGAAGACATTCCATCAAGTTCGTCCATTAAGATAAGTGTTCTCTTTTTCTGTACCTCTTTTACACTTGCCTTGCCTGAAGTCTTTTCGTTGACTGGGTTAAAGAAACCAGTAATTGATGTATTCTTTGTCGCCACTTTGATAGCGGCCTCCAATGTCTTTTTGCTTCGAGTATCGCTAGCGTTAAGTTCAATCACTTCGTACCCTTCAAGACCTGCAACAAGATGAACAGAGGATGTCTTGCCAATTCCGGGAGGACCAGAAATTAACAATGCAGGCATCCACTCTTTGTTCTTAAACTTGAAACCTTTCTCATTCCAATCGCTGAGCCATCTTGCCATATCTTTTACGAGATTTTGATTACCGCAAAAATCTCTGAGAGATTTTGGTCGATATTTTTCAGTCCACAGTTGGGTACCATTTGAATCGGTTGAAGTGACTGAGGCAATCGCTTCGGAAATTTTCGTAATAGGGCCCTTTGATTTTGAAGATTTCTTTATACTAACATTAGAATCAGCCTTCTTTGGAGATGTTCTAACCAATTCTAGGAATTGTTCCTCATTCAAAGTAGGGATTTTGAATTGTCCAACTTTTTCCATTTTTTTGGGTCCTGGATCTTGTCCAACAACAACATATGAAGTTCTCGAACTAGGCTGTAAAGTAACTCGACCTCCATTACGTTTCACAATATCTTGAGCTTCTTCACGGTCCAAAGTATTTAAATCACCGGTAAAAACAAAGGTTTTACCAAAGAAGCACATATCTTCGCCTTGAGGTGTTTCTTTGGATTCAGAAGCCATTGGACCTGTTTTATTCGATCGTGGTGATTTAATAACACGTTTACTAGGAGATTTCTCTTCAACGTTCTTTTGTTCACGCTTCGTTTTCTTAGTAGGCAGAGGAGATATTGGTTCTTCCTCTGGTAAATAGTCATCATCATCAGAAATACTTGCTGATGATTTAATAGCACGTTTGCTAGGAGATTTTTCTTCAACGTTCTTTTGTTCACGCTTCGTTTTCTTAGTAGGCAGAGGAGATATTGGTTCTTCCTCTGGTAAATAATCATCATCATCGGAAATACTTGCTGATGATTTAATAACACGTTTGCTAGGAGATTTCTCTTTAACGTTCTTTTGTTCACGCTTCGTTTTCTTAGTAGGCAGAGGAGATATTGGTTCTTCCTCTGGTAAATAGTCAATATCATCAGAAGTACTTGCTGGTGATCTAATAGCACGTTTGCTAGGAGATTTTTTTTCAACGTTCTTTTGTTCACGCTTCGTTTTCTTAGTAGGCAGAGGAGATATTGGTTCTACCTCTGGTAAATAATCATCATTAGAAATACTTGCTTCAAAGGACTTTCGTTTTTTTGGTGCAGAGAAATATTTACGAATGTCCATTATAGAGAGAGAATTTACAGATATTAACGATATTTTTTTGGGGAAAATGAAAAAGTTGTGAGAAATTTGTAAATATCAAAAAATAATCGGTGTAACGATGTACAATCACTTTTTCTTAACAAGGAAAGTGTTTTTACTTTTCGACACCAGAAAAGGAAACGTTCATTTGAGCGCCTTTCTTTGATTTATTAAATATTTGTCATTGCTTATGCAAAGATATGGTCAATTTCTACGCGTAAATAAAAGCAATTTTCTGGAATTAATTGAGTGTCATTGACATAGCAAGAGGTTCCTTAACCTGTAACCCGGGGCAAATTAGACAAATTATGTAATTAATTCATCTGGATTTAGGCGTTTAAAAAAAATTGCCTTACATTCATATTCTTTTCACTCTTTTTTTTCGTTTTCGATATTAAGAAGAAGCTTAATTGCATCCCTTATTATATTAAAAACCACTAAGTCATAGCTTTTTTATTATTTCTAGTGGTACTTGCCTAAAACCTTTTTTGAAAAAAAGTAGTTTCGTCAAAAGGATTCATCTTTTTAATATTTTTATATGAATAAACATAATTAGTTCAAAGCGTATATGGGAGCTGTGCTATTAAAAATGGGTTACGGGTTTTGATTCATATTATAGTATATTAAATGAAGTTTATTTGGTTAAATTTTTAGAGGCTATTAGCTTAATAATAAAGCAAGCAATTAAGGCCGGCAAAAATGCTTAAATTACTGTGTAACGTCAGTCAAAAATTTAAAATTAGATTTTATAGAAATGATCGACGTAAATTTTATTTTAACGTTAATAGTGTAACAATAATGTAATAATATTATTTTTATAAAAATAAATATTATAATAAAATGTTATATATATAAAATTATTATATCATCTTATTATTATTATTTTTTTTTTAAAGTGCGATAGTTTCACAAAATCTTTATTGAAATGTTAAAAAATACATACATCAGAAATTACAAAAATTTCTATTTAAAATAATATAAATACTAAAATAAATCAAGACTAATCCTATACTTTCTTAGATTCAGATATAAAATAATTTACATCATTACCTTTCAGTAACTAACCAGAAAATAGAAAAGAGCTTGACCTTTACTGCACTAAAAATTTGACTAGTGAGATCCTAAATGAATGATATTAGTAATTAAATTAGAAAAAAAAATTACAATAAGATATAAGGAACTGATATCTAGAAGCTTCTGTAAGAGATCTTTTGATAGGATCTGTAATGTCATATGATTTTTCAAATTTTTGAATAGTAAGTATCTATCTATTCAGATAATTTAAATTTTATAAGATTTACTACTGAATGGATAGTACCAGTAATCTAAAGGTAAAGTAGCTAACATATTGAGTGATTATAATTAGAACAGTCTAATAGTTGAAATGTTCTTGTAAAATATGTTATTGTTAAACTGGTTTAGAAGAGTGGTAGAAATTGATTGGATTTGAAGTGATCAAAGATTGTTAAGGTTGTAAAAATATTTAAGGTATAGGAGGACTGTGGGAAGAGTGGAAGAAAAGTGAAGTTTTAATTTGAACAGGGATCTTATGGGAGCAAATAAGATATCACATTCATTTTTTGATAGGGGAGTAGTTTGCATATGATATTCAAGTAAAGAACAAAGGATCATGTTAATGATGTAAGTTATTTGTTTATCAGTTACTGGCTTATATTTCATAAAATTAATGAATTTATTAATATCCTGTCTGATTTGATTTTTGACAAAAGATTATGAATGTTGACTATTGATCCAAACTTCTAGAAAACAATCAGATTCAGTTTCAGGTATGATGTCTATATGTGAGGATCCAAAGTGAAGATTAATAGAAGAAGATGATGTAAAATTGGTAATAAAAAGCTTGGATTTATCTTTATTTAAGGCAGCTCTAGTTAAGTTATAGAAGTCATTAGCTACCTCGAAAATACATTCTAAATTTATTTAGTTATTAGCAATCCATTTAGTATCATCCATAAATGCCAGTGAAGATACGGATTCAGAAAGTATGATAGTTGAGTTATCAGTAAATACTGGTCTGAAAATTTGCTGATTGATGAACTGTTAGATGTGATATTTAAATATATATATATATATATATATATACTGTTAATAGATTATTGTCTGGGTAATTAACCCTTTGTTTGATTATGTGTCAGTTGTAGAAAACACTCACAATGAAAATTTTGATTAGTTATGTGTCATCCATAAAACAATCTTAGTTATGTGTTAGCTGTAGAAAACACTCACATTAGAAATTTTGATTGGTTATATGTCATCCATTAAATACCCTTAGTTATGTGTCAGCTGTAGAAAATACTCATATTGGAATTTTATTTGGTTTAGTGTCATCCTATCAAATACTCTGGTAGAAAAAAAAATTTTTTTTTAAGAATCACATCTGAAATCAGCAATATCATAGATAATTGTAATAATATTAAAAATGAAAAGAAATTTGAAGACAAATCCATCTTGAACGATTTTGTTGCGCCATAAAACCAATTTCTATAAAATAATGTAATAATACAATAGTTACGGAGGCTAATTTCTCGTGATCTATCGATCCAAATTCTATGAAACAAGGACCATCGTGTGCGCCGAAATGCGCTCTTCAAAATGATATGTGTTACATTACGAACGGACTACAGGAAGCCGAGATATTCAAGAAATTGTGCTAAAAATGACTATTAGAAAATTTTTGGTAGAGATCTTCATTTTACTGCGCCAATATCGCGAAAGAAATATTTTAGTAAAATAATAACAATATAAGATAACAAATTTACTAAAAGAATTAGTTAATAAGCAAAATCGCGATGATACGCTGAAATTTTTATTGAATATTTTGAAAATACAAAGAAAATTGAGAAAAATAATATAAAAACAAACATATAAAAGAAGACTATCTAGAAACTACATTAACAACAAATAATAGTTAGCTACAAAAGAGAGGAAGGGGAGCGTAGACTCATGAACAGCTGAAGCATACGGCATCCCTCTCGAATAAAAATTAATGGTATTTAATCATGAAAATAGACATAAAAAGGAAAATTTATACTTAATCCTTACGAGGACGACAAAATCTTACAAGAAATCTATATTCTACACTACTATTTGAAAAGATCTCTTTCTTGGAGAAATCGAAGAAAATTTGATACGAATTATCTATTATAAACAAAAGAAGATATTGTAAAAGTTAGCAGGAAGTGACACACTCGCATTCCGTATCTAGGGAAGCAAATTCCTTTAAGCGACTATTCCTTGAGCCTCGCTATGCTAACAATCTTATAAACTATATCATTAAAACTTTGGTAAAACAGGGAGCGCAGTTTACCTAGTTATTTTCTCAAGTTTTTAGCATGTTGATTATAAGAGATTGCTCGTAATTATGGCGAAGTTGTTCAACTAAATGATTCAATTCTTGTATTCTTTGAAGATCCTCTGGATGACCTTTTTCTCGGAGTAAACGTAACTCTTCTCTATACTGTTGACAAGCTTCTTTAAATCTATCAGATCTGTTCTTTCTATAGGTTAAAAGAGAAGAAAGCTGTGTCAATTCATTTTCCAAACGAGTACATTCAAAAGAAAATTCATTAGAACGATTTAAGGAAATTGCTAATTGTCTTCTTAGGTCTAAGTTTTCTTGACGTAATTCCAAATTTTCCTGACGAGTCTTTGCCAAAGAAGTATTTTGATGAAATCCTGCGGTTAACGCAAAAATGTTAGAATGCTGCAGTCAAACTAAGTGAGGTCGAATATACTGTCACACTCCTTCAGACGACAGATGAGTTGCATATTCCGTCAAGCTCAGGCAAAGCCCGTGCTGAGATGCGTTCCATATACCAAGTCATCTAGTCTAGGACCATTCTTAAGTCTACCCGACTCACCTTTAAAAACTCTTTCACTATTACGTTCTCTTTGACGAATTAAAGCTCTACGACGAGTGAATGGAGATTTCTTGTTATTTACTCTAACCATGGCTCTTCTTTGACGATGAGTATAAGCTATTTTGCTGGAAAGAAAAATGAGATAAATATTTACATTAATACAATGCTTATATTAACTCCATTCAATCTCTAGTCTTTCGTCCTCAGAAAGTATCGAATGTATGACGTCCTCTCAATACTTTAGTAAACTCAAAACATCACAGTAACTTTAAGTATTATTCGTTAAATCTTCAACAGATGAAATATATTTTATCAAAGAGAAATCAAAAACTTACAAAAAGAAAATAACAATAATTTTGGTAGTATAAAAATTTTTTTTAAGAAAAAGAAGAAATTTAAAAGGTGATTTTTATATTTGAAAAATCAGCATAGGAAAAATTTAAACAAAATGAAAAAATTTTCTTTTGCAGAAAAATAAACAAAAGATATTGGTATCTATTGGTTGATGATGATCAACAAATAAGAAATTTGTAGAACATGATTAAATCTTGTTTATGGATCGATAAACATAACGATCAAAATAGGATGAGCTGATTTGATTGGATATAAATGATGTAATAATTTTAGAATCTACTCAGATGCAACATCTAAGCTTAATTTAGTATCTGTACATTCAAAAGTATAAGGAGAAAATATTGCATAATTTTTAAGAACTAGATATTATATATATAAATTCTTAATATAGAAAAATATTTGTAATATTCTATACAGTCTGCCTTGGAAAAGTTTAGTCTGTATAATCAGTCGATCAGGAAGTTAATTTTAGATTCGTATTCATTTTTAAAAAGGATTTTTCTCATGTAGATTACTTGGAAATTGAATTTCAATAAACTTTTCTGATTTAGAAATAGATTAGTATATCATAATTGAAGATCAGATTAACATGATTAAGTCACCAAAATATAGAATAAAATTTATATTTTTGATCGATAACAAGAACTCCACTTCAGTTACAATTACAATTCTAATTCAACAAATTCATCTAATCAAAGAAAATATCGAAAACAAAATAACCCAAAAGAAATCCAACCAAAAGAGAAATACAAACTCACTATCAAGTCCTATCTACATTAGTAAAAATCCTTTCTTCTATTATACCTCTATAATGCCACCGCTCTTGTAAGTTTACAGCATGTTAGTTTAAATTTTGAACCTCCAAAAGAGCTAAGCCTTACAATAACTCTTCTTCGTGTTCTCTTAAAAGAGAGATTGTATGATTTTGATCTTATATTTTTTCATAAAGTTCTTGTGAATTATGATAAACTTCTAAAAGTTCATCAGAAATAAGTTTATTTTGCTCCTCTAAGTAAAGAGAAGATCAAAGGCAAGTGAGTTGTTCACAAAGATATTTAGCTTTTATTTCTGCACAAAAAGTTCTAGTATGTTCAGTTCATTTTAAAATAGAATTTTTTGAAGGCATTTTGAATTAATAAAAGACAAAAAATGTTTGATAAGAATTTATTTGATGAGATCAGCATACAACAGAATATTTATATGTCTCAAAGTTCCATAATTTAATGAATAATCAAATTTTAATCCTATATAAACTCAACAAAAACTACAATTATAAGAGATGTCGACACAAGACCTGAAGGCTGTTCTGGCTTTTAGAGCCTAGACTGAATATCACGGTCTACACATTTTTGCAAAAATTTGGGAAATTACAGATTTATTGATTATATTTTGAGAACAAAATTATTTCTCGCCATGTTTGAAATTAAAGTGGAAGGAGAATTGTCACTAACTAAAAATTTACTATTGAAAAGTTGATCTACAAAGAATTATTAAATGATCTACAGAAGTTACTGGAATTAATTTTATGTCAATCACAAATTAGAAGATCTGCATAATTCTGGATTTTGATAATTCTTAGGATCCACAGGATTCTGGGGATTCGTAGGATTCTTAGGATTTACTGAATTCGTCAGATTATCATAATTCGTTAGATTTTCCTAATTTTCCGTATTTTCATTATTTTAATTATTATCGTTATTCTTCTTATTTTCATTATTTTTATTATACTTATTATTATCCTTATAATTATTATACTTCTTATAATTATTATAGTCTGGTGTTTTTCCATATATAGAATTTCTAGATATGTAAATGATCAACATTCTAGAAGTTTATTAGAATCAACAGTAATACAAAATTGATTTGTTCTACAAAACTGCAATAAAAATTCATTTCTCGATTTTATTGGTAAAAAAATTTGGAAAGCATGTAATCGAACAAATGAAAGAGAATTATTATTGTCATTTACAATATTTCATACAGGATTTTGTAAACGTGCAAAGATTCCGTTCACAGTAAGTGAATTTTATATTGTATCTTCCATTTCATCACTATTAGTTATATTGGTAAGATCCTGAACTTGTTGCAAAATTACTAAAAGCTTATCTTTTCTTTTCGATTTTAGTCCTTGGAATTGAGATCGATTGGTCTCATTTAAGGATCCAACCAATGATTCAATTATAAATATCAGCTCTTCTTTTTTCATTGAACCTTCTGCTGACTGTAATTGCGCTTCATCTAAAGTAACGGAATAAGACAAATAAAACCTGATAGTTTTGTTAAGGTCAGCTTTTCTTTTATATAATTAATACATCGAACTCGAGCCATAATGCTAAATAATTTCATTTTTTCACTCAATTCATTATCTCCGCCTAAACTCCCAAAACGACGATTATTTTCATGTAAATTTAAGAAACCAGTTTTTCTTAGTTGAACTCAAAAACATTGTGATTCTGTTACATAATCTGGATACGTTCGTGGACCTGTGCTTTCAGAATCTGCATGTCCAATTAAAGCAAATAATTTTTTTCGTAATTGATGCTGATTCTGAGAGGAAAGATTATTTTATCTGCAAAAGAAAAATTAATAATACAATCAATCAACATGATACTTTATTTCTTGCCTTCATAAACTTTGTACAATTCCTCGCAGCCATCTCCCAATGTTTTTGAGTCGGTATAGGTGGTATGAGCATCTTTAGCATTTTGTTCACCTCCTCAAGTATGGCATCTAATCCCTGATGCTGGTTTGACCATTCTGATCATAATACAACCACATTCTGTTCAATAAGTTGGCGGATTTCTGGATGAAGGCATATTAGTTGTTCCTCATCAGCCACTTCAATTGCTTGATAAATAAAATGCCACCTGAAAGACCAAATAGGAGCAAACATTCTATGTGCAGCGGATTTAAGTAAAGGTTGATTGGTTCTAACTCCAGTACGATAGTTTATTATGGCTTGTAGATACCAAAAGATCTAGAAAATTGATTTAAGTATTATATATAAAATTTTAAGAATTTCAATATTGACATACCTGTTCATATTTTAACTTGTATAATTCATCGGTTTGATTTTTAGCCCAATCGAGAAACCCACTAACAGATGGATTAGGAACTGAAACAACATAAGGCCAGACCAATTCCATTGCCATTGCATGTCGATAAATATGACATATTGAATCCCATGCCTATAATACATAAAATTTGTGACTATATCACTACATAATATTGTGAATTATTAACGGGAATATATAGTGACATGGAAGAATTCTGCCTGAGGTTATTGACCAAAAAATTTAGAAATCAGTTCCTGCAGTTCCATTTTTTTTCTTGAATACTTCCAGGATAAATTTGATAAATGCTTAATTTGACATTTAACCCCAATCTGTCTCTAATTGCATTTATAAGAACACTGACCGGTTGACTTGTTCTAATTGTACTCATTTGGTGTATCATATTATATTAGACATTATTAAAATTCCCCACTGGAACGATAAGACAATTGAGAATAATATCAGTCATTTTACTTTCCTAAATACAAGCACATGGTGAGAAAAATGAACTCTCATATATACATAACTTCTGGTATATACATGCCTTATTTTGCATTATTTTTTCTGAGAAAGTTTTTTGCGAAAAGTTAGCTGAACTTCCATATACTCCTACATGCTTTATATCTTGCTGTTGGGAAGGAAAAAAGCTAAGGAAATACAAGGCGTAATTAGCATTATCATATGATGCTAAGAGTTCTATGAAAGTACATGCAAATGAAAGTTTTGTATCTTTTCACATGTAGATCTACCAGAAAGACTCAAAGTAGCATTACATCTAGCGATCTCTAAATTGCAAGATTCTCAGCCTTTCATAACATATGCTTTTGATAGCATTATTTACTTTAAGAGCTAGTCCTGTGTTGCAACTAAACGTTCTTTCATATTTTTCTTATGTTTGTTTGGGAAAAAATAAAGAACAAAGGCTAATATGTTTTTTCGAATATATGCGAAAATTAATATATCTTATAAGGCCTGACTGATGATCAGTTATTACAGAAATCTGTGCTAAGTCTTCCGAGCTAATGATCACTGCTCTGGTTAATGATCAGTATTTTGAACACAAATTTGAATATATGCTAGCCAGAGATAAACACAATCATGACAAGTAATACTAATAATGAATTTGTTCAAAGCAAAATACTTGAAAATCAACTATATGAAGTGCTTTTGTATAAAAAAATGGATGTATTAGCTATTCAGGAGCACATAGCCGAAAGAAAACTTGGTATTAATGACAATGCAAACCAAATAGTATCAAATCAAAGCAAGAAAGCGGAAATACTTGATTATACAAGTGAACTATTGTTTGATTTGATAGAGAAAATTATATCGATAGAGGAGAATCTTGAGATTGATGGCCACTCAATCCTTAATATATTATATCGATATAGAAAAGATCTTATGGATATATCATTAGGGGGGGATTTTTCATTTAGGGAAAAATACTATTTGTTTTTATATTTGGAAGAGAATATAAGCATAATTCAAAATTATCTTGGTATTATCGGTTATATTGATGAAGAAATGATAAAAGAAGAAGCTGAGAAAAATGTGAGAGTATATATTCAAAAGTTCAGACGTTCTAAGTGTGGTAATACAGAAATTCATCAATAGGGAGTAAAACGTTTTATTTTACTAGAGAGGCTTCTGTTAATTCTGAATGTCTAGAACAAGTTAGCTAATTTATATTTTTTTGTCAAATAGGGGCTCAGCAAAAAAATCTTCCGAGCTGAAGATCACTGCTCTAGACCTGCATGATTGGAATCATTGGTTTCTTTGGACTCGAATAAATCTGTCTTCTCGCAGAATAGCATAAAATCATCATAAATTGTTAAACCTTGTTTTTCCATATCTATTTTTGCTTCGCAAAGTCATAACCATGGTAATCTTAATACGAGGTCTACTTTTAGCTTTTTAATAACCACGAAATTATTAAAAATATCATCACCATTAGTAAATACTAGTCTATCTTTCCCCTCGTATTAAAAAGATAAATTCAGACATTCCAACCTGTTTTTTTCTTTATATTTAGTGTACTCCATTTCAAGCTTATTGACCAAGCTTCTTCTAATAAAATTTACTCTAGATGATGTGTCTATCAATACCTTGACTGTATAGAACCTACATCCTGCTTTCATTGCTTCGTGATGACTTTTTAGATCTATATCATCATCTCCTTGAAAATGCCAAACTTTACATTCTATATAAGCCATTTTAAGTATTGTATTTTATAACTGAATATCTTTAATCGAAAAAATAAGTTAGCCAAGCTGGTAAATAACTGCTCTGAACTATTGGTTAAACTGGAGTTATAGCTAGAATTTGACTATCAGCTAAATCGATATAGGAACACAAAATTGTCAGCTAATAATAGTTTTGAATTACATATATCCAAAGTTATATAATTTTCTCGCATACTTCTGCATTTTGCTCGTTTAGTCCAAATATTCAGGCTAATTTTTCTGTGTATCTAATAACTTCCTGTTCATTAGATATACCAGATGAATGATTTTGATCAGTTACCATTTTTGTGATATATTATATACGTTATATCTTACCTTGAGCGAAAAATAAATTAATAAATGATACCCCTATTCTCTAACCCATATATGTGATCATTTTCATCAAAGAACTCAAATACCTCTGCCTGATTATAAGGTTGCATTCTTTTACGAAAATTGACTATAGTATATCTATCAGATGGAGCAGTATGGTTGTCGGGACAGTGCCTTAATACTTGACTAGCAATAGTATTAGCTTTTGATAGATTTCTAATCCCACTCGCTACAATTGCAAACACCACTCCTAATTTACGCAAAGAGCTAGGAAGTAGTGACTTATAAGGTTTAGGAATAAATTCTTCTTTTTTCAGAAATGCACTTAAGTATGCAGATCTGGGCTTTTCTGGATCCCTTAACATCCTGGAGACAATTGCTTCCTGAATCCATGTAAGCAATTGCATTGCCCGCTTCTCAATTTTTTCTAGTAATTTAAATGCTCTAGGAATATCCTATTAACCTCAGTTTTTGTGTATCCAGTTGCACCTCTATTAGATATACGTAAGTTTTTAATTTCAGCAGGGCGGATGCAGAGTATGATCATTACATCAGCTAGGGCCTGTTTGTCAAGTATATTAGATATATCATACAATTCTAGCCTTTCCTTAACCAATTCTAACGAGAAGTGATCCAGAAAGTGAAACCCTTCATTTTTATGTTGCTCAGTATGCTCCTATTGGATTTTATTAGATACGCAAGTTGTCTCTCTATCTAATGTTACAGAGATTATTTCCTTTGAACATTGAGGCCTCCAATTCTCTTTGAAGCCTAGAGAGATGAGACAAACCAGTGATAGAGCCAGAAGCAGTTTCGATTAAAGTTCTAGATATTACTTTTACATTTCTTTTATTAAGATCATCCCGAATAATACGTTGAGCTGTTTTTTTAATAGTCTTCCCAGAACAAGTACTATCAAAAGATACTTGACATATATTCACATCCCTAGCTGGTTTCTCTTCTTTGGAGGTTACTTGGTTTTTACTTCGTCCAATTCTCTTGTGAGGAATTAATACATATGCCTGTTCTTTGCTAAACTTATATCCTTTTTGAAGATGATCACGAGCCTGACGCCTTTTTCTTTATCTACTTTTAGCATACCAGTTGTCAAGAGCTCGAGTATTTCTGACGCATATTGACTAAGCTCTTCAAGGCTCATTTCTTTGGTAAGTTTATGGTCTGTAATGAACTTAGTTATAATAGCAGACATTATATAGAGTAGTATGTATATTATAGGGTAGAAGTTAGATTAATTTGTGTTATTCAGATTATATTAAGTAGGAAAAAGTTCAATTTGGAAAAATATTCCTGAGCGAACAAAAAATAATAATTCAAAATTTTATATCACTTAGTTGTAAAGAACAAATAGACCCTCTTATCCAAACACCTTACCTATAAACTGTCTTCTTACTCGCTCTTTACTAAAGCATACCATTCTCCTGGAGTATGCTTATTATTTTTTGCCATTTCTCATCAGTATCAGGCCACGAGGTTGTGATTCCATCCCTATAAATAATCAGTATAAGGAAAGTATACGGAAATAATACGTTTAAAAAACGTATAAAAAATGTAGAAAAACAGTATAATAAATTCGTAAATA